TTGATTGCTCTTATCTAACTATACACTCTTAAAAAGATGGTTCTTCAAGAGTTCTTTAGTAAAGGTGACGGTTCTAAATAGGATCATGAACACTCAAGAAAACATTCGTATGCTTAATTGGTTTTTGCATGATTAAACGGCTCTTCATATTGAGAATACTGCATATGGTTTTATATATATACATATATATATATATATTATATATATATATATATATATATATATATATATGATCCTTTTTGAAAAGGGTACTACATAACACCAAAAATGTTCTTTACATTGTAACAATAGCACAGAATTTTTGGTGCTATATAAAACCCTTTTCAAAAAGCGTTTAAAACACATTCTCTGTCAATCTGAAGAACCATTTCACCATGTAAGGAAACATTTAAGCATGACATTTAAACATGTAGGCCAATCTCCAACTTATCTTTTTTATCTAAAGTTTCAGAGAAGGTTGTTGCCAGCCAGTTAGAGACTTATTTGGAATCCAGCATGATGTATAAAGTTTTTCGCTCTGGATATCGCACATTTCACAGCACTCAAACTGCGCTGGTTTGTGTGGTTAATGATTTTTTTGGTTGGCCGCAGATTCTGGTTCTCCTAGCCTGCTCATTTTACTTGAGTGCGGCCTTCAGTACAGTCCAGGGGTCAGCACTGGGTCCTATCCTGTTCCTTATTTATATAGTTCTTCTGGGCTATACTTTTCACAAGAATAATATTTCTTTTTAGCATTTTTGGATGACACAATATATTTTCAAACACAAATTCACAGCTTGCTTTATCTTGGGCAACTAGCTGCTGTGGGGATATACATGGTTGAATTGCTAAATTATTTAGCAGTTAAATAGTACTAAATTTGAGGTGATTTTTGTAGGCACCAGATTGGTTTATCTTGTAATTAGGTAGCTTTGAACATGGCTTTCAATCTACAAATGCAGAGTATGCAGGAACATGTGTAATGTATGTTTGCAGTCACAAACTGCATGTATATGAAGAAAAATGTCTGAAACCACACTTCTCACAAAAGTCTGAACATACTCTGTTTAAGAATGCAGTTTAGTTTTACCAGATCTCTACTGACCAGCTTAGCAGATAGCTCAGCTCGCTAACAGGCTAAGAGGCTACCCTTTGGTACTATTCAGAGTAAGGCTTGGAATTTTAAATATATTCGTAAGGTTTCAGTGAAAAACTGCTTAAACAAAGAATATATAATATGAATGTCTTACCAGTTTTAAACGTCCTTATTAATGTAGAGTTCCAACAAGTAGCACTTAATCCAGGGTGGAGAAGTGAATGTAAATCTCAGTTAACATATCACAGGGATTCCCACAGAGACAGTCATATTATTAGTACAATAAAATGTACTAAAAATGTAATAAAATAAAGAATTTTCAAAAAGAAAAATGCAGTACATTACATGAGGTCAGATGGGCTCTGCAGAAAACAACAACTACATAACAGTTTGATGCATATCTTAAAGAAACAGACTTTAAAAACCATCAAAAATCAATGCAAGTATAATAAGAACAATTTACTTCCAGAAGTATGCAGCACTGGAGCTGTGGCTTCAGTAATGGACCCTGTGCATTTTGTCTATATGTTGTTCAGAAAATAATTTTATGTTTTTTACCCGTTTGAATGTACTTGATTCATTTCTTATTATTTATTACTTTTTGTTTCTGTTAATAAATAAATAAATAAATAAATGATACATTAAAACCCAACATTGGTGCAATATCATTTTATTGTGAACTTTGTTGTTATATTTCACACTACAGTATCAAAATGAACTGGGAAGAGACTGTTACTGATGTCCAGCTTTCTCAGAATCCTCAGAGCACAGAGGATTGTGTCCACATTTGGGGCAAGGCTGGGCCAGTGTTCTGGAGACCAGGCTGCTCAAGTCAGCGAGCACTGATGGTGACATTGAAGGGATACAGAGTGAGATCAATGCAGCCAAGGTGCTCTGCAGCTGGGCAGCATTCCGGTGGAGGTCTGTGGTGGTGGTCTGGACCAAATCAGTCATTTTGGCCAGAAGAGACAGCAGGATAGGGTCCAGGCTGGACTTGATAGAGGAGGTCAGGGATGGAGCATCAGTGATGTCGTCCTGGCTGATTCCGAGATCCAGAGAAGTCTTTGAGGTGTTAGGAGTCGCCTCCTCAATCAGACCTGACTGAGGGGTCTGACTTCGGGAGGTGGAGGCCAAAGTCATGGGCTTGGAACCAGGGTTCCGTTTCGCCTTGACCTGCAAACGGCGCTTCACGTGGATGAGCAGCTCAGGGTGCTCTCTGCAGAAGTAGCCGTTGTAGAAAACCTCTTTCTATAGTAAACATGGAGAGTGAATAGGTTACAGCCCGTTTGCATGTGTGACATCTATTCAGCTGCAGTTGTTCAGGGGCCACCAGGGGTCACCAGTTCTGATCCGGAAGGGCCAGAGTCCAGCACAGTTTGGTGATTTCCACCCACAAACTGGGAAATTAAACTGTAAAGGTCTCCTCTCCCTAGAATGGGAACTGTTGGTCGCTATTCTTAGCCATCTTACCTTAGAAGTAGATTACCTTAGAAGTCTTCTTGAAGCCATACAGGTTGAGTTGTCGCATGAAGCTCTTCATAACTGAAGTCTCGAAGATCTTTAACTCTCCCTGTCGACTGAGAATCTCAGCCGAGAAAAGCTCTACACCAATGATAATGCAGGTTTCCCACCGGTGCCATTCGATGGACTTGTAGATGTCGTTCTCCACTATGTGCCACAACTTCTGTGGGAAGGTGAGTGTGGAAAAGTTCACCTCCACACCATCAGTGCGGGTCCTTTTGATGGGGAATGTCTGGGCGAGGGTCTGGCCATCACTACCTTCACTCGCTTTCCTTTTCACTGTCTTGGTCATTTAACAGCATAAATCATCAACCTATCACTGAGAGTGATTAATCAAGAATGAACTGCTAAACGGAAATGTTGGGTTTATGAACTGTCACCCACTTGTGATGTCACTGATGATGTCATAATGGAGATGCATGGTGACAAATATTATATGTGCATGTGAGTAAGTGAGTGAGAGAGAGAGAGAGCTAGAATGCTGATGACATCACAGTGAAGCCACTGGCTGCTGTAAAATGAATGCTTCTCTATGAACATATCAATATTCTCAAAAAATGCTGATATAACCAAAATGTTCAGGTTTATTGTATTTTTCCACAGTAAAACCCAGTTTATGTTCTTTCGCAAGACATTTAATGTGTAAGAATGCATGTAAAAGTTTTATGTCTAATATAAAGCAACATAGGGCGGCACGGTGGCGCAGTGGGTTGGGTTCGATTCCCGGCCGGGTGACCAGGGTCATTTCTGTGTGGAGTTTGCCTGTTCTCCCCGTGCCTGCGTGGGTTTCCTCTGGGTACTCCGGTTTCCTCCCACAGTCCAAAAACATGTAATCAGGCCAATTGGACATGCTAAATTGCCCCTAGGTGTGAGTGTGTGTGAATGTGTATGTCTGTCTGTCTGCCCTGTGATGGACTGGCGACCTGTCCAGGGTGTATCCTGCCTTCCGCCCAATGACAGCTGGGATAGGCTCCAGCACCCCACCGCGACCCAGAAGGATAAGCGGTTTAGATGATGGATGGATGGATGGATAAAGCAACATAGATTATCTGATCTATAATTTCATAGGAATGGATGAAGCTATTCGAATACATCTACTTCCAAATACATCTTAGCACTCATGTAGGTTACTGTGTGTATCTGAAATAGGCATGTGCAGTTTGGAATTAAAACAAAAAAATAAACGCAACACACCTTGCCAGCAGGAATACAACAGTAATACCAATACTGACCCAGAGAATCCCACGTAGGTATCATTAAAGCAATCCTGATGGTCACAAACAGCCTGCAAGATTATGGAAGGGAACAGTTCCATGTTCCTGTAGCACTGACCATCAGGGCTGCTTCGTGGCTTGATGCGGACATGGCAGCCGTCGATTGCTCCAGCTGTTTTATGGAAGGCCCTGTGTCCTGCCAGCCCTGCAAACCCATGGGATATTTACTTCAAGTCTTCTGGTGCCTTGAAGAGGTGGATGACTTTGTGTCGAATGGCCACCACCTCCTCAGTGACCTCAGTGTGGATGATGTGGTGGACAGTGGAACGAGGCATCCCAAACCTATATGACCCTATATGATGTCCCGTTTGCCAGCCAGAACAGAAATACCAGGGTCTCAATTGTGGCACCCCATCCATATCACCTCTCTCGGTTGAGAAGCTCCAGCAGCACTGCCAGGGCCTCCGAAAATCTGGATGTGTGTCCTCCTGGTTGAAAAACCTGTCCAGCACAGGAACATGCAGATGTTAGTTTAGAAAAAGCCATCAAATTTCAAGTTGAAAAAGATCATTTACGGGTTTTCTCTTAAGACAACACAAGGCACATGTACTCAGTTGCTTTCCATTACATTTTTATTGCAACTAACCATTTCTTTCTGAGATTCACATCAGATGGAAACTCAAATATGGCTGTTTTTGTTTAGAATTAGTGCACGAAGGCTCGCTACAAGAACACTTACTGCTAACTTATGCCATTGCAAACATTGCAGATGGAAAAACTTCCCAAATGGGAAATGTTGAACCCAGAAATGAGAGAAAGGCTTGTAGAAATTGAGCATTGAGCAGTGTAGTATGTGCTTTATCTCCACCACAGTGAAACTGTACGCTCCTTTTTTGGTTCCTAGATAATTTCTTCCTACTAGAGGTGGAATAATGGCGGCGGTGCTTACGCTGCAAATAGACAGTTATCACAAATACTGTTTTCCTCACAGACTGACTGCACAGACACAGGGATTAAATAAAAATAAGCACACAAGTGATGCATCTGATTTGTGCTTGGCATCAGTGAAACCATGACAACCAACGGCCTGCTCAAGTTCAGAAACGCCCACAGGCAATGAGCAACCAGGGATCTGAGACGTCAGACGCACAGAGACGACGCACAGACGCACAGACTGCTGACCCGCCGCTCCAGCGCTATCTTTCTGCTAAGTTTCTAAATCAACCAAAAACGGTAAGTTCCTGCAATACCATGGCTACTGCTGGTTTCTTTGCCTGCTCAGAGTGTGGCATGTTTAGTTTAATCCCCTTTTCCACCTCTAGCGATAATGATAGTGGCTGTGTTTGTGCTAAGTGCCAGCTAGTTAGCTCCCTGGTGGAAAAGGTGGACCAGCTAGAGGTGCGCATCCAGGATTTATTAAGGGACAGACAGCGAGATTCACCGCTAGCAGCCCTGGGTGTCTTAGGGAGAGTCAGCACCCCCTCGACTCCGGCGTTAGAGCCCTCACAGCGGGGTGAATGGGTGACGTCTCGGCGACATAGCCGGAAAGCTAAGGCTAATGCTAACGCTGAGGCCAAAGCTAGCCCACCAGAACACCACGCTCCTCCGATTCACGTGTCAAACAGGTTTGCCCCGCTCAGCGAAACACCCGCTGAGGAGCCTGTTAAAAGTGCTCTGGTTATAGGAGACTCGATCGTTCGACACGTGAAATTAGCTACTCCTTTAGGGGCGCCAGCAGTAACAGTTAGCTGTTTACCGGGAGCCAGAGCGCCGGACATTAGCGGCAACCTTAGACTGTTAGCTAATAAGAGATATTCGAGGATAGTCATCCATGTAGGGGCCAATGATATTCGTCTGCGGCAGTCTGAGGTAACTAAGGGTAACATTAGAGAGGTGATTAAACTGGCCCAGACGATGTCCGATGCCGTAATCTGCTCTGGTCCCATCCCAATGCGGTGCGGCGCTGAAGCCTACAGCAGACTCTCAGCGTTAAACTGCTGGATGTCCAAGTGGTGTTCGGAAAATAAATTGGGCTTTATAGATAATTGGTTACATTTCGAGAGCAAGCCTGGTCTTATAGGTAGGGATGGTGTCCACCCCACGCGGGAGGGTGCTGCCTTACTTTCTTGCAGCATAGCACATAGCCTTTTAGTTAGTCGGCAGAGTAGTGTAAACAGCTGCTGACAATCCAGAGCCGGGACCAGGCCGCAGACAGACAGGCTAAACCGACCGTCTGCGAACCGCCTTGAGGCGTCACCTAGGATCCACTATATTGAGACTGTGTCTTTGCCCCGAATTAAATCAAAATCTAAATGTAGAAAAACTCAATCAGCCCGCCTCAATAACCTAATCAACATTAAATCATATTTAGATGATAGCAGCAACACCTCAGTTCTAAAATTTGGGTTATTCAATATAAGATCACTAAACTCAAAAGCAGTCATCGTAAATAAAATAATAAGTGATCATAAATTTGACGTTTTCTGTCTCACTGAAACATGGGTTAGACAGGATGAATATTCAGCACTAAATGAAGCCACCCCTATAGGCTATAATTATGTACACAGCCCAAGATTATCAGGCAACGGAGGTGGATTATGTGTAATCTACCAGAATACCCTAGATATCAGACAGAAACAGTGTGACACTTTCACTTCTTTTGAGGTTCTTTCCATCAACATTACAAATCCGGCCACAAAAAAGAACGCATTTTCATTATTTAACATTTACAGACCACCAGGGCCCTACACAGAATTTTTTAAAGAATTTAGTGATTTCACTGCAAACCTAGCTGTGTGCAATGATAAAGTAATAATTGTAGGTGATTTTAATATCCATTTTGAGAAGGCAGATGACCCACTAAAAAAGGCATTTACTTCAATCCTAGACTCTGTTGGTATTACGCAAAATGTAACAGGGCCTACACACTACTGTAGTCACACTTTAGATCTAGTTCTGACACTTGGACTTGACATAGACAGGCTTAATATCCTACCGCAAACCTCAGTAATCTCTGACCATTACTTAATTTCTTATGAGCTACGTCTTAGCCATAATATATGTACGTCCCCTCGCTATTCTACAAAGCGCTCAATAAAACCATTTACCGCCCTGCAATTCATAGAAAACCTCCCAGAACTAACAACCCTAGTCTCCACTCCATCAGACCCAATGGAGCTAGATGTACTAACCGACTATTTAGAAAATACCTTTCGATCTACTTTAGAAAATGTGGCGCCACTTAAAATCAAAAGGATAAGACAGAAAAAGCTTGCCCCATGGTACGATGATAAAACCCGTACCTTAAAACAAACAGTACGGAAACTAGAGCGGAAATGGCGATCAACCAAGCTAGAAGTGTTCCACTTTGCCTGGAAGGAAAGCCTTATAGAGTATAGAAATGCTCTCACTAAAGCTCGCTCAGCATATCTGGCCTCGCTGATCGAGACTAATAAATATAATCCTAGAGGACTGTTTAGTGTGATTTCCAGAATTACAAAAAATCAGGCAGGCACTGAACCACAAATTCCGGCGACTCTCACCAGTGATGTTTTTATGGACTTTTTTAATAATAAAATTGAAAATATTAGACAACAAACTCAACCCACAGTATTAAATCCAACTTGGCTGTCATCTGATGTGGCTGATATAAAACATAACGTAGTTGCAGAGGAAAGGCTGGAAACTTTCTACCCACTACCACAGTTAGAACTAGAGAAGATTATCTACTCTGCAAATTGTACAACCTGCACACTTGATGCAATCCCCTCAAAATTACTCAAAGAAGTGCTACCAGTTATCATTAATCCTCTTTTAACTATAGTAAACTCGTCCCTTAGCCTGGGCCATGTACCCAGATCTTTTAAACTAGCAGTTATTAAGCCTCTGATCAAGAAACCAAACCTTGATGCTAGCGTATTGTCTAATTACAGGCCTATTTCTAACCTACCATTTATATCTAAGATCTTAGAAAAAGCTGTAGCCCAACAACTTAGTTCATATCTAGATAAGAACCACATATATGAAAAATTCCAATCTGGATTCAGGCCACATCACAGCACTGAGACAGCTCTAGTTAAGATAACAAATGATCTTCTTCTTGCCTCTGATCAAGGCTACGTATCCCTGTTGGTACTACTTGACCTCAGCGCAGCTTTCGATACGATAGACCACTATATTCTCCTAGAAAGGTTAGAAAACATGGTTGGAATCACAGGGACCGCCCTATCGTGGTTCAAATCCTACTTAACGGAACGTTATCAGTTCGTAAAGGTAAATGATTCATCTTCCAGTTATTCACAAGTAAGATTTGAAATTCCGCAAGGCTCTATTTTAGGACCATTATTATTTACATTATACATGTTACCGTTAGGCACAGTTATAAGTAGCTATGGCATTAACTTTCACTGTTACGCAGACAATACGCAATTATACATATCAGCCAAGCCTGATGACAAATACAGGTTAAAGAAAATAGAGGACTGTGTAAAAGATGTGAAAGGCTGGATGTTACGTAACTTCCTCCTTCTAAACAGCAACAAAACAGAGGTTCTTCTTCTGGGTCCAAAACTGGCAAGAAATAAATTACCAGATTTAATTTTAAATCTTGCTGACTTTCCAGTTATACCTGGTTCAGCAGCAAAAAACCTTGGCATCATAATTGATTCAGATTTATCATTTGATCAACACATAGGCAGTATCACTAGGACAGCTTTTTTACATCTTCGCAACATTGCCAAAATAAGAAATGCCTTATCGCTGCATGATGCAGAAACATTAGTACATGCCTTTATTACTTCAAGGCTAGACTATTGTAACGCACTACTGTCAGGATGCACCAGCAGGAATTTAAGTAAACTTCAACTAGTTCAAAATGCTGCAGCCAGGGTTCTCACTAAAACCAGAAAATTTGATCATATCAGTCCAGTTCTATCATCACTTCACTGGCTGCCTGTTAAATTCCGTATCGATTACAAAATTCTTTTATTGACGTATAAAGCCCTACGTGGGCTCGCTCCTGAGTACCTGCAAGACCTTATTTCCCATTATGAGCCACCACGATTACTCAGATCACAGAGTGCTGGCTTTTTAACAGTTCCCAAAATTCAGAAGGTTTCAGCTGGGGGAAGAGCCTTTTCTTATAAAGCCCCCAAACTCTGGAATGATCTTCCAGAAAATGTTCGGGACTCAGACTCAGTCGCAATCTTCAAATCTAGGCTGAAAACTCACTTGTTTAGTTTAGCTTTTGGTAGTTAATGTTCCCCCTTAGATAAAGGCAGCAGATCCAGGGGTCCATGGACGCAGGGAATTATAGTAAACTGAGACGCTGGTGCTGTTGTCCCGCCGCGCGCACGCGATCACTCAGGTTTGTGGACGGTGGAGTGGAGGGATGCCAGATTGTTTCAGGGTGCTCCCGTGTCTGTGTGCCCTTTTGGTTCTCTCCTTTTAGTTAAGCTGTTATAGTCAGATTTACCGGAGTCATTAGCCACACTCTGGAAATGTTCACATTCTCTGTTTTACATACACTCAAACAAAATAAAACTAATTCCATCTCCCTTCCTTTTTCCGAGTAAACGACTGCCCACCTGCCGGACGGACACTGATGGATGATTGTCTGTGGAGCTCTCCTGCTATCCGCTTCAGACCAGTTGCCCACGCCCCAGTCGCCGCCACTTGCCCAGCTACCGCCACTTGACTTGGACTAGCTGCACACTCCCCACTCTACACTGAAGTTTTTCATGGACTCCTAACTACTACTACTACTACTACTACTACTATTAATATTAGGAGTATAATAATTTTGTAGGTAGTTTGACCAGAGGAGGATGGGTCCCCCCATGTGAGCCTTGGTTCCTCCCAAGGTTTCTTCCTCAGCTCTGAGGGAGTTTTTCCTTGCCACTGTCGCCCCTGGCTTGCTCACTTGGAGGATTTACATTTCATGTTAAAACTTTGTCTTTAATGGATTTCTGTGAAGCTGCTTTGTTACAACATCAGTTGTAAAAAGCGCTATACAAATAAATTTGATTTGATTTGATTTGATTTGGGCGCTAAGATGCAAAAAGTTGCTGCCGGTGTGAACGCAGGATAAGATTAACTTAGCCAATGTTAACTAGTGTGTGAGATTAAAGTGAGCTGCTTATGTATGCTAGTGTTAGCTATATTGTTTATAGGTTACATTGAATGTGGTTATAAAGCAAAACAAGACAAACTAAGACTCTCCATGTAGCTTTAAACTCTAAACAAGTGGTCGCTTCATACAGCTTCTGCAGAATAACTGTCAGGAACTGCAACCAGGAATTAGTTGGCTAGATAACGCTAGTCAGGAGCCATTTAGTTAGCTTGTTAACTTAGCAGCTAACAAAAGTTAAGCAATTTAACAGCATATTCTACCACTAGAAACACTGCAAATGATATTGAATAATATCAAGTTATATCTCAAACATCAGATGAAATCTTAACTATGTTCATGCGTTTAGTACAACGATGTTTGAAGCCATAATGTATCAGAGCTACAGAAGCAGCTGTAACTTACCTCAGAAAGTAGAGGTGGAATGATAGTACGGTCCAGCAAGCGACAAATCCTTCTTTTAAACCGATTCTTTTCCGATTCACAAGTCTATCTGAATCAATCTCATAGCAGCTTCACAGTTTCAGAGTCGGATCCTGCTGCAACACACATGTTGTAATTAAAAAATAGCTCACCTCAGTAACAATGACAACAACACCTGAAAAGCACAAAATGGAGTTATGACATAACTGACGTTTGAGGAAGAAGCACGCCTAAAACTCTTCCTTTTTAATTCCAGCTTCATGTAAATACCAGTCCTTCACTCCTCCTTCTCGTGACAAATTTCACACTCCCCCTGCTTGGACATAAACATTTTATATATGTGCCAATAGATGGCAGTCCTCCTAAAGCTATCAAGCCAGCAGCAGGCAAAAACATTTGTTTCCTCAGAGACTGACTAAAAAACATTTACAGGGCTGAACAATTTGGGCAAAAGCTCCAAATTGCAGCTCTAGCAACTTGAAAAATACATTCTTTGTAATTGTGAAATTATTTGAAGGTAAAATAAGACTCTTACTGTTGTTTGCTATTCAAAATATGTTATAGAATACAAACTTTATATTAATAATGGTGGCTTATTTATGATCCATGCAGAAATCTCTTTAATCTTCTCTTCAGCTGAAAAAAGGGGATCTGATAATGCATACAACATAACCACAAACACTGCCCTTCCGTAAACTAGTACAAGAAAGCTCTACTTCCTGTTTCTTGTCATTTCACAGAGAACATTTCACAGCACTGAGATCTCTCCAACAGCTCAAAAAAAATAAAATAAATAAAGTTCTGTCG